CAAGTATTGCAAAGTATTACAAGTATTTAATAGTGATAACGGCACTTAACCTCTTATAATTCTTTTTGTTATCGGAAACATAAAATATACAATAGCTTTTTTAACGTAAGTATTTGTTCTTAAAGTTTATGCATGTTTTAACCCTATATTTTAACTCTATTTAATTTTTGGCTTACGTTGTTACTATCATGGATTTGAAAGTCCAAGAGCAAATTTGATAAATTAATATATCTGTTTTTATACCTTTTTTGTAATCAAAATATCAAAGCCTGCTTAAGCAAACTACATAAACTTAATTTTGAAAGTATAAATAGGAGAAAAATTTGCAAAACAAAAAAGAATTGTGATAAGACTAGCTGATTAAAGTTTCTGCTCGAGTTTGCTACATTCATGTTCAGTAACTTAAGGTTAATTATATATTTTTAAACATAGAAATACATCGTTTCTATTATTGCAAACAATACAAAACTTTTTACACTATACGGTTATGTGTATTTAAAACTTGTAGGTTTAACGACATTTACTACCTAGTAATGTTGTTTATAGGAATTGAATTTACAGATGATAATGGTGGTGGTATTGCTCTGGTAAGTAGTCAGTGGCTAACACCACGTAAACAGGAAGTGTTCTGGCTACCTTACAAATCCCAGTCTCAATATGATAAAGCTATGAAAAATGATGTAATCCCAAAACAAGATGGCTCTTGGACAATTTATAAAATTAAACGTAGCTTTTTTGAAACAGGTAAGGTGTAAATACATAATATTCTATAAAATATTTACCCTAATATATATGTAATTGTATTATAGATGACTATAGTAAAGCACAAAGCAAAATAAAGCAAGCACAGATAACTTCTGATTGTCCGAGTGAAATAGATGATATTTTACCACTGAAAAGGAGAATCCAAAAACTGAAAAGATTTTTAAATGATAGCAGTGATGATAAAGACGAGGTTTTATGACAGAAGCTGGAATTTGCACTACCACCAAAAATTGCCAGAATAAACGAAAAAAGTAATGAAATACTATTACCTTCATTATCACGTAAGTTTTAGTAAATGCTCTCTCTAGTTTTAACATCATAAAATATAAATATCTATTGCTTTGTTTATTCATAGATAATTCACATGAAAGATAGACACTAAGCTGAAATACAGACAGACAGACGGAGACAGCAAATTATATTTTATAATAATATTTATATAAAGCAATATGAAACAATAAATTAAGGACCATTAGAGTTAACGCACAGGTTGTATAGTGCTATTATAAACTATTAACACATAGTGACACAATCTCGCAAAGAGAACAAATTTTATTAAAAATCAAACGCGTTTCGGTCTCATTTCGCAGACCCTCTTCAGTGAAAACAAGCAGTGGTATAGTGTCGCAAAAAATAAAAAATCGCAAAAGTCGGCGCTAACATTGGTTGTCACAAGATAGTCGCTACAAAATCTTTTGTCTACGGGACTCAGAGGCACAAACATTATATATTAATTACAACAATGAGTTGTTTCATTATTCAGAAGCTGCCGGCAATTCATTCAGAGATCG